CATCTTTCTTCCATTGGTGGTAGTTGTGGGCCTCACTGTGGTCCCCGTGGCGCCCACCCATGTTATAGTCCAATGAACAGGAGTCTATCCTTGGTCGCGGAAAGAGCTGGATCCTGCCGGGGTCTGGACAGCTGAGAGGCGCCCTTATCCCCACCGTTAACGAGGGATGAGCCGTAAGACTTCCGATGAGGAGTAATCGAGACGTGCCACGTACGCTGCGGCATATTTGTAACGTCGAGATCGAATGATTTGCCCCCAAGGAAGAAAAGGAATAGAAATGGAAATAATTTCTCAGGTGGAGGCTTTCTCGTGGTGCTCGGGAACAGCGTATGGTCGATGTCCATGGCGGTTTGGAATCACCCGCAGGTATTCGTACCTTCCACCCTCGCGCCCGTATCCCCATTCCTCCCCTCCCCTACTCGCTCCGCGTTCCGCGCTCCAGATCTCGACGATCCCTTCGCCCGTCTTCACTGCTCCGCTGACTCGATGCCTTCTCCGCCGGCCCTGGCGCGGAACATTCTGGTCACCGGCGGTGCCGGCTACATCGGCAGCCATACCGTGCTGCAGCTCCTCAAGGGGGGCTACCGCGCCGTCGTGGTGGACAACCTCGACAACTCCTCGGAGGTCGCCCTCGAGCGGGTCAGGGAGCTCGCGGGGGAGTTCGGCAAGAACCTCGCCTTCCATCGGGTACCGATTCCACCCCTATCGTTCTGCACCTGCGGTTTCGATTCGTTTCTTTGACATTTATGAGTTGGAGGTGGTTTCCTGATGGGCAAGATTTGACGTTTGGTGTCGTTTTCGATTGAGATGATTTGGTTCCCATGCGTCCTGTTTTACTCTGAAACGATACTCATCTTTTCCCGGGTTGTGCGTGCAAATGTCAGGTTGGATTTCCGATTTGTTCCATGCATTTTTAATTTGTTGATTGCTCTCTTTCCTGATTGGTGGCTAGTAGCTTTCAGATCATAATGATTATGCAACTTCGGTTCTCTGCAGACTTGTAAATCTCGGGTTTCTTGATTCTCTAGATTCCAGATCGTGCATCTTTAATACCTTATGGAGTCAAAGACCGATATGTCTGTCTTTCATCAAATTGGGGAAGCGGTCAAGATTTAGATGCCAAATCATGTTATTTGAACGCTTATTTGGAGTCAAAGACCTTGATAAATTGCTTCTAAATCTTTACAAGAATCGTAATCTAATGTTATCCATCGGTAGACTCGTTCAAGTGGGTTATTAGCGACGAACTTCTTGAAGAAATTGAGCATTTGAAGATTTTCCTTCTGACTTAGGTTTGGCTACCTTAATTAGGAGGACAACTTGCTTGACGAAAGCATATACATCACCCCCTCTTTACGATTTTTTATGATCTTTGTTCTTGCGTGGCATTTGTCCTCTCCATCATAATTATTGCTGTTTCCAACTATAAAGCTACATTGTTGTACATGTCAGTGCTGTGTCAGTCACAGGATCCATTTTTTCAGAAACATACTTCCCAGTGGTTGGAATTTTCTTAATTTGTTGTTGAAGTTTATCAACTTTAAACAGCTATATGGACGTGTAGACCACAGAATTTGTCATGTGTGCCTTGATTTGTAAGTTCTAGTAGCTGTGTCTATATCCGGAAATATGATTTTTCTCCATCGAAGTTTAACAAACAGTGGTAACCTGATCTTTGTATAACAATGTTGATTACATGCTGCACTACATGTTGATAGTTGGTCTACTTAGTCCACTCAAAACGAAGTTTATGGTCCTCTTTAAAGTTGCTTTCTAAAATCTCAATATCTTGGAACTGGATGAATTCCCAGACTTCATTAGCATTATGCTTCAACTGGCACAAATGATTAGTTACTTTGTCAAATTCTGATCAGCCTAGTTTTGATGACTGACAGTTAGAACAACAAGATTCATGGATCGATCAGATATCTGAGAATGTCTTTACTTCTGCAGATTGATCTTCGAGACAGAGAAGCACTAGAGAAAGTTTTTTCTGCAACCAAGTAAGTTCTGTTCATGACGAAATTGTCCCTAACTTGGTTTTATAAAAAACTTTATGAGCCAATGCTGTGATGGTTAGAGATTATTTTTAATTTTTAAATCAAGATATGTAACTACAAAGGGCTCAAAATAAGTGATGCAGGCTAGACATTGGTTGTCATTTGGCCTGTTATTTCATGTTCACACAATCTTTGTTGAAGGTTTGTGCTATCGTTTTAAGCTCAAGTTCTGATTTGGTTCTACAGATTTGATGCTGTTATACACTTTGCTGGAATAAAGGCTGTTGGCGAAAGCGTTAGAAAGCCTTTACTTTATTACAACAACAACCTCATTGGCACAATAATTCTCTTTGAAGTAATGGCTGCTTACGGATGTAAAAAGGTACTGTGGAGTGTGGACCATATATTTCACATCCAGGCTCATCACAAGGACAATAAAAAAAATGAAGTTAAGAATTCACTTGTAGTGGCATGCATGAAATTAACCTCTACCAAGTGACTGCCACATTTCAACATAGATTAATTAAATAATATTTTGGTAGTTAGTTCATAATTTTTTGATCCAATTGTGAGTAATTAATCTGTAGTCTTATGCACCTACCGTATGAGGTTATGATTATAAATTCTATATCTCACTAGATGCCTCCTTCTGGAAGTTAATAACAAATATTTCGCTTCCCTGATCCCAAGTTTAGTTCTCCCACAGGTAGAAGTGTCTAATGTGATGATCCATTATTTTTTAATAAATCTTTCGAATTATGTTACTTCTAAATAACTCCCTTCTCTCCTTGAATACTTCTTTTAAATGTCATAGTTCCTCAAATTTTATTAATGCTGTCAAAATTCATATGCTTCTTGAATGGTAACCCCTTGAAAAGCCCAGTGAAAGTCCTAGACATCCATACATATGACCAATTAACAATACCCAAGGACACTACTTGATCTAATGATGTTACAGTAGTCTCACATTTATCAGAGTTGAAGAGTTTCAACCTAATAAAAACCAACAAGCCTTCTTTTCTCAAGGTGCCTTTGGGGCCCATCTCAAAGAACAAAATGTACATATCATGGCCCAAAGTGATAGTTACCTCACAAGTCACTAAGCCTGAGTCGTGTTCGAATGTGCAGATGGTGACAAACTTATGGCTCCCCACCAGGGAAGAACCTGATGATGTCCACCTTAGTCCCACATCAGTTAGAGAGTTAGAGTCTTGATCTACATTTATCATGAAAGTTTACTCTCCTAACCACATTTTCTACCTTGATCTTTATAGTTAATAGGTTTACTTTCCTATGCAACTTCTGCAAATGACAGAAAAGCAGTACAATAGAAGTATCAGTACTAATTATAACAATTAAGATGTAATGTTGCGTGCCATGGCTAACAACATGTAGACATATAACAAAACAAGTATTTCTTGTCACATGTATATGTTCTCCTCACCGTGTGATCCTTTAGCATTATATTTTTTTTTAATGTCTTAAGCAGCCACCTAAGGTAAAAAAAAAGGTAGGAATGGGGAGCCTAGTTTCCATCTAGGTACTTGAGCAGTCACATGGACTAAGACTCTTAAAAAAGTTAGGTGTCCAAGTGGTGTCTGTAACTCAGGCATATTAAAGATAACATGTTAAAGCATTGAAGTTTGATACAGGCCACAATTCAATGGATTGTGTTATTTGCCTGATGTCTCTACAAATGTCAATCCATCTTGAATTGGAAGTTCTGACTTTCCAGTGTGTTTATTTCCTGAATTAAATTAAGGATTGTTTTGTTTATCTTGTTTCATGTGTCTTTTGCGTATGCATTTCATCTCATCCTAAATATCATTAATGTGGCATTCTTCTTAACCATTAAAAATTCATCCTAAGTATCGCTCTTATGTGACATTATTTTTTACCAATAAACCACCCTAAATATCACTTTTGTGACATAATTCCTGACTATTTTAAACGTGAACCATTTGGGTGTCTGATGGCTTAAACCTTACAGCTGGTCTTCTCATCATCAGCTACAGTTTATGGGTCGCCGAAGAAAGTACCTTGTACAGAAGATTTTCCTTTATGTGCAATAAATCCGTATGGACAAACTAAGGTTTCTTTTTCTCTTTGCCACCGTCTTTCCTATTTTATGCACCTGTTGCCTGAGCTAGCAATCCTTGTACTTGCCGTTGCAGCTTATGACCGAGGATATATGTCGTGATATGTGTCAAGGTGACAGTGACTGGGATATAATATTATTAAGATACTTCAATCCCGTTGGAGCTCATCCCAGTGGATACATCGGTGAAGATCCTCGTGGAGTTCCCAATAACCTCATGCCATTTGTGCAGCAAGTTGCTGTTGGAAGGAGACCTGCCCTTACAGTATTTGGGAATGACTATTCAACCAAGGATGGTACAGCGGTACTGTTTCTTAACATGTGAAGTTGTTTTTTCTCAAAGCTTTCACTTAATAAATCTAGTGTTTGGAATTTATTTTGGCACATCCAGTCTTTCTTTAAGAATATGCTTGAGGGTGTTAGTATTTTAACGGAGATTTAATTGATTGGTTTTTATGAGTATGATTTTGATGCAATGGACCTGTATAACTGGTAGTATTGATTCTGGTATCTAACGTGTGAATTCTGGTCAAGATTAAGGACCACTTTTTTTCCCGACACTAATTTATGCAGTTCAGGGCTAAACACTTCAGCACATGCTTTTTGGTCAGCTCAGCGTAGTTCTTTTTATGCTTTCAATGGGGAGTTAGAAGGCCAAAAACACATTTAGGAAACCTTTTTGACCTTTTGTATCCATAAGTACATTGTCTGATATCTGTTTTGCCTGTCTTTTGCCCATGAATTTTTGATTTTGTTTACTTCTTGTGTTATCATATGTTGTGATAGGCATGTTTAGTGTTCTAATAGCTTCTCAATTGCCAGTCATAGCTTTGAGATCTTTTATGTGTTATGTGGAATATATAGATCCTGAAACAGTGAATATGTACCATTTACCCACATATACTGTTTTTTTTTTTTCTCTTTTTGCTCTTTCCATAATATACTGTTTTACTAGCATACATCTGGAGTATTTTGCTATTCATATAACTTGACCATCGTTGTTCTATTTAGTCTTTGACGTGCTTGACATCTTCTGGGTTTCATTTGCAGAATATTTCTTATGTTTGTTTATCGCTGACAATTTCTTTTGTCGTGGACAACGTTATATGATTCCAGGTAAGGGATTACATTCATGTTGTTGATCTAGCAGATGGACATATTGCAGCCCTACAGAAACTCTTTGAGGGCTCTCATGTAGGTGTGTGTGAATGGCACAGAGTTGGGATCATTTAAGAAGCTATACATTTTTCTCATGCCACGTGACCCATACTGTTTACATTATCTAGATTAGCATAATTAAGAATTGACTTGACTAGGAATCAAAGATTAAACTGAATGTTATCTCTTGTGTTAGACTCGTAATCATGTATGATAGAATAATAAATTATGAAATCCTTTTTTAGGTACTTGTATTTGTCATCATGTATTCTGTTCTTGTTTCTTCGAGGGCCATCCATATAACAAGGATAATTTGCTTTGGATTATCATTTAATTGTTTGCTATCTTTTAATCTCATTTTGATGATAAACTAGAATACTTATCTAATTTTAGGATTGTAGGATTCTACACTCAAATATATTCATGGCCTTAGGATTCTCTATCCACGACTTTGTTTTTGATCATCCTAGATATGTCCCGTGGTTATAATGTTAGGAACAAGTCGGCAATAAGAGAGGGGGGGGGGTGAATTAGTGCAGTGGATAAAAACGTCGGTTCTAAGAATTCGTTTCGATTAAACCCGTTTCGTAAAGATGCTTAAATTGAAAGCGTACGGAAGAGTATAGCAAGTAAGGAAGTTTGCAGTTAAAGTAAATTGCTCAAAAGAAATGTAAATCGAGTTTATAGTGGTTCAGTCGTCGTGACCTACATCCACTCCCGATTCTTCTTCCGTCGAGGCCATCGGCATCCACTAACGGTCTTCCGTCAATGGACGAAGACCAACTACCCTTTTACACCCCTATTCTCCTTTTCACAGGTTTAGGAGATAACCTTTTACAAGCACACACTTCTCTCTAAACAGAATTCTAAGTTTAACCTTTTACAGACACTGGGCGGTACTACCGCTCAGTTTGACGGTACCACCGCTAGACATAGTCTCAAAGATTGTGCCACGACGGTGCCACCTGCTGGGTCATTGTTTGGGCCTTTCACTTAGCCCAACACAGTCCATACATGGGCCTAACTGGCCCCTAATTGGGTTGGCCCAATTCCAATCCCAATTATATGCTAACTACGAAATTTAAGGCATACACTAAGCAAATCCGTTCCGGTTAGTCTAGGTTTCTTTCGACGAGCTTCCAGCGATCTTCCGGTGAGCTTCCGATGATCTCTCGGCAATGTTCCAGCGAACTCCCAACAAGCTTCTAGACTTCACGACGATCTTCTTGGCAAGTTCCGACGAGCTTCTTCGGCAAGCTCCTGGACTTCTCGATCAATTCCGGCAGAACTTCCGACGAACGTCCGGACTTCCGACGAACTCTCGAACTCCCAACGAAGTTTCGTTCTTGACTCCGGGACTTCATTTTGCTTTATGCCTTGATCACTATCGTAGTTAATCCTGCACAAATAAAACCTACTTCGATCTAGACAATTATTACAAAGCTTGAATCATGTTGTCCGACATGTCATTGGTTCATCGACGCTTCGTCCGATTCTTCGTCGCATCGTCCTCTCTTACGGCCTATTGCCCAATCGGCCAGTTGACCTTCGCAACTCCGATTTCCTTGGGGCAATTTCCGCTCTTCTTGGCCCGATGCCTGAACTCATGGCACGAAGCCTTCTGCCGATACGTCGACCGATCCTCCGGCTCGATGTCCAATCTTCTGACATGTTTCTCTCAGGCCCAACATGATTCTTCGTACTTTAATTGTCTCTCCCTGATCGAAGCTTCCTGCGTCACTCAAAACGCAGATCAAATCATAAACACTCTCAATTGGTTTCATCATCAAAATCCGAGATTCAACAATCTCCCCCTTTTTAATGATGATAACCAATTGATGACAGAATTCACTTTAACTCCCTCTATCAATATGTCATATTGATAGAACTCTTGGATTTAAAAATCCAAACAACATGTCATGATAAATCATGCATAGCATCATACTTCTCTCCCTTTGTCATCAACAAAAAGGAGAAGTTCAACTATAAGTGTTTAGACATACAAGTTCAAATCATTGTATAATAAACATAATCTCAAGTTTTATCATCATACAAGCTAACAAGTTTTTTACAAAATTTTTACACCTTTTGATATATGCATGATAGCAAGTTTTGCATCTACTTGAAACGTGGAAGCTAACATTTTTGCGTTTCTAGCAATTCTTTCTTTATGCAATTTGCAAGGTAGCAAATTTAGTAAGTTTTACATAATTTTGGAACTTGTAAGCTAGTAAATTTTACACATGTGAAAGCTGACAAAATTTTTGAATTCAAAGAAATGAGCAAGCTTTTTGCTTTTCTTCGTAATGTGTAAGCTAGCAACTTTTTCCTTCTTCTCGAAGTATGCAATTTAGCAATCTTTGCTTCTCTTTTGAGATGAGCAAGCTAGCATGTTTTTGTATTTTCTTGACTTGTGCAATCTAGCAAATCTTTCTCTTTTGAGATGTGCATACTAGCAATTCTTTCTCCCCCTTTGTCATTGGCAAAAAGAGAGGAATAACAATACAATAGTGTAATTCATTTCTCTTTACTACAATCTTCAAATCATGACAAGGATAAATAACAAAGATGAAAAATCAAGTCATGAATGTCAAAACAATTTTTCATCATAAATACTTCATCATTGCATGCATCATTATCATAAGTTGAAGTATTGCATGCATCATTATCATAAGTTGAAGTATTGCATGCATAATACCAAATCATCATTCATAATTACATCAATATTCCAATCATTATTTCAATAATAAAAAATGAAAGATCAAGTCTAGAATTTGAGAAATCAAGATCATGATCCGAAAAATGTATAAGAAGAATTTATGCATTTGGGAGCTCTAACATGTCTAAGTTTATCATTCAAGCTAGCAAATTTGGTTCTCTTGAAATGCTAGCTATTTTCTTTCCCCCTTTTGTCATTGTAAATAAGAAAGAAGAATGGAAGAACATAATGGTGTAAATGTTCAAGTCATCACAAAAATACAAAGGTGTCGTATGAAAATCATGACATGAAAGATATTAATATCAAATCATGAATGCCACAAGACATGATTTATTTCAACAAATCTCGTCTTTTTATAAATGGCAAAAAGAAACATAGGAGATCAAATAATATAATATCTTGATTCATACATAAGAAATCTCAAGTTATAAATCTCGAAAAATCAAGATAAAGCTCATTTAAATTCAAATCGTCAAATCATCAAAATTACTTTAAAGAGATTCAAAATGACATAAACAACTTTATCAATCTCTTAGTGAAAAATCGATAATATAGAGAAAAATAAATTTTCAAGAAAAATGCTTTTCTCTTTTTAGTTGTTTCAATTCATGTGGTTTATTTCATAGAAGTATGTCTTTTTCATTATGTCAAATAAAAACATGCATCAACGTTTAAAACCGAAAAGGAACTTTCATTACGGCAAAGATCGATAATCTATAAATCACAAAAAATCATCATGCATAATTTCGAAAGAAAAACTCATTAAACATGATCATTATGCATCATTACTTTGGGCATAATGCCAAAACATGGTTTTAAGTTTTTAAGATATAACATGCACAATTTCAAACTATAAACTCATTAAGCTTGATATCAAACCTCTTGACATTTTCATTACATCATTAAATCATCAAAATTGATTTCATAAAACATAAAGCATTTTCAAAATGTATTTTTTTTTTTAAGTGAATCTAACTTTTAATGCTTAGTGCTAGGAATTAACATGCAATTGTCATGCTCAAATTTTAATTTTTTTTTCAAAATCACTTAGAAAGAGAAGCATGATATATAATTTTTTATTTTTTATTTTTATTTGCTTACTAACTAATTTAAAAATAATTCATGAAACATCATCAAGTAATTTCAAAATAAAGTAAAGGAGTTTTGTTTGAGTTGTTTACCTCATTGTCGAGAGTCACCAAGGCCAAGTTTATCGTTTCGTCTTCATCGGTTTGCTCCTTTTCTTCGGATGCACTCATTTCGTCCCAAGTCACTTTGAGTGTTATCTTCTTCTTTGGCAACTTCTTTTTTTTAAGTTCATTTTTATTTTTTAATTCTTGTTTAATAAAATTTTTATGTTTTATAGTGAGAGTTTCAAGTTCATCATCACTTGAGCTTTCACTTGAGTAGTCTTCATGTGTTCTAAGTGTCAAATTCTTCTTGTTCTTTGGAAGGTTGTTCTCAAGTTTGTCATGTGTCACATAAGTCATTTCATAGGTCATTAATGACCCGATAAGTTCTTCAAGAGTAAGGTTGTTTAGGTCTTTAGCCTCTTGTATTTCCGTTACTTTTGAATCCCAATTTTTAGAAAGAGATCGTAAAATTTTATTCACAAGTTCAATGTTAAAAAAACTTTTACTAAGAGCTTTTAGACTATTGACGACATCCGTAAAACGGGTATACATGTCTCCAATAGTCTCGCTTGGTTCCATTTGAAACAACTCAAAATCATGCATCAAAATATTAATCTTCGAATCTTTAACTCTACTAGTGTCTTCGTGTGTGATTTCAAGAGTGTGTTAAATATTGAAAGTTGTTTAGTAAGTAGAAACCCATTGAATTTATTTTTGTCTAAGGCGCAAAATAAGGCATTCATAGCATTTGCATTTAAAGAGAAAGTCTTCTCCAACTCATTCCAATCTTTCATTGGAAGAGAAGACTTTTGAAAACCAAATTCGATTATATTCCATAAATCGAGATTCAATGAAAGCAAGAAAACTCTCATTCAAGTTTTCCAACATGTGTAGTCCGTCCCATTGAACATGGGAGGACGAATGAGAGAGTGACCCTCTTGAAAGCCGAAAAGAGCCATTTCTCTTTGGGTGTTAAACCAAATGAGAAAAATGTGGCTTTGATACAAACTGTTAGGAATAAGTCGGCACTAGGGGGGGGGGGGTAGGGTGGGGGTGAATTAGTGTAGCGGATAAAAACGTCGATTCTAAGAATTCGTTTCGATTAAACCCGTTTCGTAAAGATGCTTAAATTGAAAGCGTACGGAAGAGTATAGCAAGTAAGGAAGTTTGAAGTTAAAGTAAATTACTCAAAAGAAATGCAAACCGAGTTTATAGTGGTTCGGTCGTTGTGACCTACATCCACTCCCGATTCTTCTTCTGTCGAGGCCACCGGCATCCACTAACGGTCTTCTTTCAATGGGCGAAGACTAACTACCCTTTTACACCCTCTTCTCCTTTTCACAGGTTTAGGAGACAACCTTTTACAATCACACATTCCTCTCTAAACAGAATTCTAAGTTTAAGCTAGAGGAGGGGATCTCTCAAATAATTTCTATAGCGTTTTCTCACTTTTAAGTTCTCTGTGCTTGTGTATGTTAACCAGGGATGAGAGGGGTATTTATAGGCCCCAAGTTGATTCAAACTTGGAGCATAAAAAGGTCTCATCCCGGGTTTCTCGGGTCCTGGCGGTACCACCGCTTGCACCACTGACACTGGGCGGTACCACCACCCAATCTAGCAGTGCCACCGCCTAGGAGATTGTGTCTAGGCGGTACCACTGCCTAACACTGACATTGGGCGGTACTACTGCCCAGTCTGACGATACCACTGCCTGGCACAGTCTCGGAGACTATGCCACGACAGTGCCACCTGTTGGTGTCACTGTTTGGGCCTTTCACTTAGCCCAACACAGTCCATACATGGGCCTAACTGGCCCCTAATTGGGTTGGCCCAATTCCAATCCTAATTATGTGCTAACTACGAAATTTAAGGCATACACTAAGCAAATCCGGTCCGGTTAGTCTAGGTTTCTTCCGACGAGCTTCCGGCGATCTTCCGACAAACTTCCGATGATCTCTCGGCAATGTTCCAGCGGACTCCCGGCAAGCTCTTGGACTTCACGACGATCTTCTTAGCAAGTTCCGACAAGCTTCTTCGGCAAGTTCCTGGACTTCTTGGTCAATTCCGGCAAAACTTCTAACGAACGTCCGGACTTCCGACGAACTCTCGAACTCCCAACGAAGTCTCATTCTTGACTCCGGGACTTCATTTTGCTTTATGCCTTGATCACTATCGTAGTTAATCCTGCACAAATAAAGCCTACTTCGATCTAGACAATTATTACAAAGCTTGAATCATGTTGTCTGGCATGTCATTGGTTCATCGACGCTTCATCTGATTCTTCGGCGCATCGTCCTCTCTTGCAGCCTATTGCCCAATTGGCCAGTTGACCTTTGCAACTCCGATTTTCTTGGCGAATTTTCGCTTTTCTTGGCTCGATGCCCGAACTCATGGCCCGAAGTCTTCTGTCGATATGTCGACCGATCCTCCAGCTCGACGTCCAATCTTCTGACATGTTTCTCTCCGGCCCAACATGATTCTTCCTGCTTTAATTGTCTCTCCCTGATCGAAGCTTTTTGCGTCACTCAAAACGCAGATCAAATCTTAAACACTCTCAATTGGTTTCATCATCAAAATCCGAGATTCAACATATAACTTATAAGCACTTTGTGAGTGATCTTCAACAAGTTTATTAGTGAAGGAGTTGTATATTTTTATTTTGATTTATTTTGTTATACTTCATTACTTCTTTGGTTTATTATATAGCAGTTGATATTACCCTTTATGCTTATTTATTATACCTTTCTTTTTTTGTTTCATAATCATTTTTCTTTTGTTTGTTAAGTCATTTTATTATGCCGAATAATATAGTTACCCTATGCACATAATATACTTCTCTAAATTATTTGTTTTCTCCCCATATTTTGTCAAAATTGTTTTGTAAATCATATATTTTATCTATGCTCTATTATGTTTCTCCTTGTGCTATTAATATGCTCGATGCTATAGGAAACAATTATATTAAATTGTATCTATTAAATGTATGAACTATTTACATTGTTAAGTTGTGTTTAAATGCATGATAGATGAAGCAGTATATGCTTGTATCTTAATTCTTTGATGCCTTTGTAGTTGTTATTCAGTTATAGCAGTTCCCAATAAATTCTTCTAGTTAATTATTTATATTTGATAAGAGGTGTTTCTTTCCATTCTCCAGCAAGAGATGCATCTGCTGTTTACTGGTTTATACTGAAGACCTTACTTTCTGTGTTGTGATAAAGGTCTCTTTGCAAGATGCAGGATGTGAAGTCTATAATCTAGCAACTGGAAAGGGATCTTCTGTCTTGGAAATTGTGGCAGCATTTGAGAAGGCTTCTGAGAAGGTTCTAATGTTCTTTTATGAGCTTTTGTATCAATTGTCTAAGTTTTACTCAGTTTCTTCCTTTTGTTTGTGTTTCGCATAGTTTCTCACCTACAAAACTCTTTCAGAGAATCCCTTTGATCTTGGCCGGAAGGCGACCTGGTGATGCTGAAATTGTTTATGCATCCACAGCCAAAGCAGAGAAGGAGCTACATTGGAAGTATGCAGAAGCAGACTGTCACAATTATATGCTCGAGTCTATCGACTCTACCCTCCAAAATATAATTGTTGCATTTACAAATGCCTGCACACTCACACACACACACATCTAAAATAGTATGAACATGTTCAAAGATCTGTAAATGTTGTGATTAGATGAAGTGAGTCGATTATGATTAATAATGCAAAAAGAGATAGATGGAGACCTAAGAAGAGTTAAGTAGAAACATTAAAAGAATTATTTACTCTTGATTTAAATAGAGATATACCCATATATAGAGTCCCAATGGCTGAAAAAGTTTATGCAGTTCACTCTAAATACTTTGGATTTTATGGTTTATTATTTTGCTATAGTTTGTTGTTGTTGTTGTTTTCTTTATTGTCTTATGGTTGCAAAAACTTGTTTTGCAAATCGTAAGGGCATTCGAGATGTTTTATAATCATAAGGACATGACAGCATGACTGATGATGACCTTTGTGCAGGGCAAAGTATAGCATTGAAGAGATGTGTCGAGATCAATGGAACTGGGTTAGCAAGAATCCTTGGGGATACAGATTGCCGGAGACCACTAACGGAAATGGAAAGTGCGCTACTTCGCAATAATACCAGCTCTTTAGCAGACGGAGAAAGATCACCACATGACAATTTGATATAGATGTGGCATATGTCGGTCCAGCTGATATATCATGTGAATAAACATGATTCTATCATCAAAGACACAGCAGAGATAACTTTTATCTCTGTGAGTTCCATTCTTTTTCCCCCTGTTGCCTGCCATGCATCATCTAGGCTATTTAAGCACAACATGTGTATATGGCTATCTGTTCATTCTTTTTTGTTCATGCTTGAGCGGACTTAGCTTCCTTAGCACCCATTTGATACGGATGCGTGATGTATGTTATTTGATGCGGATGTAGATTATTGTTTCAGTGTGCTGTGTCAAATCTGATCATCTGATGTAGATGACATTCCACTGCCCGAATTTTTTTGTCAAATCTGATCATCTGATGTGTATGATTTACTGCCGCTGTGTTTGTAGCATGTGTTTGCCAAATCGCTTGACTTCTAAGAAACAAAAAAAAACGCAGTCTCGTCGAGTTTCTAAGTAGCAGAAGCCATATCGTAATGCCCTAATCATTTAATGTATTTATTGGTTACAATTATTTAACATTTTCTAGTTCATTTCATGCTGCTACATCGAGTCGCATAGCAATTGGATTATCGTTCTCGTCGAGTCAAATCTGATTCAAATATGACCGCAAGTTCGGAAGACACAGTCTACGTTAGGATTCGAAAATACTCAAATCAGAGTGGCCCAAGGATTCAATGCTGAACGAGATTACTAATTTTTGGTATTGATTAAGAGTTTGAATTTTCTTTTCTCGAATTGTTTACTTTAAGGATTCATTTAAAAAGAATATATATATATAAATATATATATACATATATATACATACATATATATACATACATATATATAAATAAATATATATG